TACTATTTTTTTTTTTATGTATACTGTATATATGTAGGTACTATAAATTGATTTATATTTATTTAAATTTTAATATTACATATATTTTTATATTATATTTGTTTTTATAAGTTTGGCTCTTTTATTACATGATATTATTAGCTTCATTAGTGATAATTTATTGCAATGCGATATTACAGTTTTTTGAGTTTGATTTCAATCGACTCGTACTATAAAAATATATTAAACATATTATAATAATTTAAAATTAATATTATATTATTAAATTAAATTAATTATGTAGGGACTATAGGTAATTGTTTATAAAAACAAATGTTAAATCAATTTATTTTCTCGCGTTTAGAGTACCGGTTTCTGCTTACAGCTTTTAATAGGTAACTTCATGCAATGGATTTTAAAACTTATTCAAATTAAATATAATAAAAATAATCATGCAATAATAATTATCATTACGCCAGTTAATTTTATTTTTCTTCTTAAATCTAGATAATATAGTGGTTATATATATAAATATTTATATCAGTATATAATAATTCGTGGTACCAATAACAAGGACGGTCTTAAGGGTGGTCAAGTAAGTGGCGGAATGCCTACGGCGAATTTTTAAGTGTATATAATTATTATATGGTAATAAATTATTCATATTATTAATATAAAATCGTATTCGTATAATGCCATTATTCTAGGAATAATTAATAATTAATTAATAATAGTTTCTTAATAATTTAGTTTATTTTGTTGATTCTTATCAAAAAAAAAAAGATAAACTATGTTTTATAAAAAAAAAAAATTGTCTGTAGACACTAATTGTTGTAAGTATTAAATACTATTATTAGTATTATCTCATTTCTTTTAAATGTTATCAATTAATGATGTGCTTAATATCAATTGACAAAAAGGTGAATAATTTTGGATTAAATTACCAACGTAATATTTATTTTGTCTCATGGGCGTTCAAATAATTTGTAAGGATACGTAGTAAAATTCAAAATATTGACAGTTGTACAATAGTATTTGCATTCTCCAAGATTACTCGGAGTTTATTACTCCAATTACTCAGGTATTGCTGATTCCGGCAATTATCACACTTCATATATTACACAGCAATTAAGATTATTCATAATTTCGATTAAAATCAAAGATAAATCGAAGGTAGAAATTGTTATGCTTGAAATGTCCATACTTCAAATGAGTGGTGACAGTTAAATTCAGTGGAGTGCGGTGGTAAAACATTATGGGCAAGCGCTAAAATAAGCATATCTACCAAAATACAATAAAAATGTACTCATATTAATATTTTACTAGTTATTATATTTATTACTAAACAAGTTTAATGTTAAATATATATTATATAATATAATAAGTAAACAAATATTTTAAATTTAAACAAAATCAAAATTGAAATTATTTATAAACAAAATCAATTCTTCTTTCTTATTTTACAAACTCATTTATAACTTCATCGTAAAACTCTGTAGGTATTAGATTTTTTTACTTAACAGTTCTTTTTCAATTGATATTAATGATAGATAACTTAGTCTTTCCTGGCCTTGAGTTGATCTCTGATGGGATTTGATTCGATTTGATAAGAAATAAAAAGAATATATTCGTAATATACAATTTGTATACCTAATGAATATTGTTACATAATTATAATGTTTCTCTGGTGATGTGCTCGATACGACTTGAGAGTGAAAATAAAATGCTGTCAATAACACAACAGTATACACAGATAAACAGATAACACAAGCAGTCTGTTTTGATTCTGATTTAGGTTTTTCGATAAGAATTAATAAGAATGAAAACATCCACCGATGGACGGTTCTACCGACTACCATGGAATATGCCATAGTCAAAAACGCGCTGCTGATATAATGTGACGGTGGCGGTGGCTAATCAAATCCCATCAGAAGCCTTTTGCCGAGAGCTTTCGAGGACCATGTAAAATCGTCGTCACCCCCCCCCCTTTCCTCTTCTACCGCACCCAGTCGTTCTAATACTACAACATTGGTCAAGTCTAGAAAAAACTGAGTGCTTACTTATGTATATTAAGTTGCCTATACAATAAAACATTTTCTTGATTTTTTTTACAAATTATATTATTGTTTGTATTTATTTTATTTGTAAATTCTTCTGATTAAATCATTAGCAATGACATTTTATATTATTAAAAATAACGAATAAGTACTCTTTTTTCCCCTTTTTTTTTACTTTTATCTGAGCATGCGCCGCTTACCTCGCTTGCCCTGACTGCACGCCACCGGTTAAATTCCTCTCAATTAAAGTAACGTTAAAAGTTATTATTTTCTTACGATACAAATGAAAACTTTTATCGATAGGTAACGTTTATGAGTCACAACTCATAACTCACATTTTATTAAATTATTATGATTAATTTTATACATTTTAATCCAAAATAGTTATAATGTAGTTCCCATATTATAAATCCATATAAGCTTTGAAAACATATTAAAGTACCAAAAAGTATAAACAATACATGTGTAATTATAATGAATACATAGGTAGCCTGCAAAATTTAAGTAGGACGGTATCAAATGAATGAATTAGAAATTTGGGTTAATCTAAAAAACCTTTTGATTGTGTATTGATAATAATATCATATGGCACATAATAAAAATAAAAATAAATTCACAAAGTAAATCTAATCGAATATGTATCTAATAATGTTTAGTATGGTTTATTGGTTAGCTGTAAACTTAAAAAATATTATGTATTTTAAAAATAACGAAGGTGATCGGTAAATAACTAGGAGTGTCCGTCTAAAAATCAAATCTACTCGGTGACCTATTGATGAACTTTAATCTGAATTGGAATTTTAGTTATATTTTATTAGTATATTACGATTTCAATGCTGAGTGATGTCTGAAACGTTCAAACACAAATAGTTTTCCGTTTAATTCCATACATAACAGGTCATGGTTCGTTCGAAACGTTCAATACTATATTCAAAAACGATCGACAAACTTTTGTTGTCTTACGCGTAAATACAGATATGTAGCCCTCCCGTTCGAATAAAGGTTTATTTTTGTTTTGACGCACCTGTGTGCAGTCGTGTACCGAGATTTTTGGCAGGTTAACAGTAACGGTCACCGTGAAATAATAGAATATCCCAACGCTAAACTATTTTAAGGACTGTAAAACAAGCGAAAGAAAAATCCGACCAGTTCGCAAAGTACCTATACGAACTACAGCCAACACCTACCTGTTTTTGAAAAATATCAATCAAAACGATATTGATTTAGATATTTTTTCAAAACCGTCGACGGTTTTCGTGCGGAGGAGGGAGACTTGATCATGTACAGACGAAATAAATCATTTTCGACGACTACATATCTGTTAATCGAGTAATCTCTGAAATCTTAAGACGTCTCCAACATGGTCAGCGCAGTCAATCCGTGTTCGGGACAGAAGTCTAACACCTAAATAATATATTTGACCAGTCAATGACTTGAGTGCGAATTAATTTACGATAAATTTGACGGTTGGCGTGCAGAAAACATTATAAATATACGGTATAGTTACACGACCCGATTGCGTTATTTTTTGTTTTTGAATTAATTGACTGTATAATATTATCTATACATGTTCGAATTTTATGATCACATAGTGTAGGTACTGTTCACACATTAAGCTTTGCTTTCGTTTTCATTCAGTGTCAGAGATAATAAAACGAGTTATTTGATCCCCGTGGAAAATTATATTTTATATTTTTTATTTAATTTCAGTACTCAATGGCATTTTTAGTACATCTTATATACTCATATATATATATTTTTGCATATTATACAGAACGTACGACAGTATCGTGTTGACATGTGCTCCAGATTTTCAAGCGAATTTTTCGAATACCCTAATTAGTCCGATATCTTTAACATTTTTATCCGAGATGTGTAGTAATATTGCAGTTTCCTAACGTGCACTGTGTATAATTTATAACAATTTTAAGTGAATACCAGAAAATCGCATTGAGAAGACCCCGATACAGAGGAGTGAATTCACGTTTAGTGAAGGGCAGAGGTACTTTTGAAAAGGTAAAGGACCAAATGAGGGTTGTATCCAAGACGTGAACATGTTATGCAAGGATATAAGTGTTGCTCAAATTATTATTTACTTAATTTAATTTTTTATCTGAACAAAAATGTATAAATATATGATTATACAAATTATATAATTAAGACACGACTGATAGGGGAAAATTTACATAAAAGCCCTACCCACACAGATCACTAAATGTTTAAATACGTCTATGGAGGAAGACGATTGAAAAATTAAAAAATTCGTTCCAGAATAATTGTTTCATGTATACTTGAAACAATTTTTTTTTTAAGCGCTAAATGGCTCGCATGGTCAATATATTGTGAACTTGACCGTGGTCTTTTTCGCTCTTACTTAGTGAGTAACATGGATAGTTTAAAATATCGTGAACCGCGGTAATGACAAATATTTGCGAACACAATCAAGAGCTTAAGCTTATAACTAACTTATAACTTCTAAAGTAGTATAACAATAACATTATGGTATACATAATACATATCTCCAACCTATCATCAACGTGCCAAGGATCAATTTTTTTTTAAGCTTTAGCATCGATAACCGTTGATAATGCAACGACGAATGAAATCCACATCGGCTGTCGGAATCGAACTTATATTTAAAATGTTAATTTCTGGGTAATGGGACTTCAGCCACCCCTGTAATTTTACTTTTGAGCTACTGTCGTTATTGCTGATGCTGTAATGACAGAGGGTGAACACTTTTAAACCTGTCGCGCGATGAGAATTAATGGTACATTATTATGGCGCGCTAACAGCTATATGTTTGTGTATTATGTGCATGTATTTATGTACGTGCATGTATATAATATGTACATATTCTTGAACTTATGCCCAAAAAAAAAAAAAAAAAATTACCGAAGAAGTGGGATAAGTGAATTTGGCTTTTTCAGTTCTTTTATTAAAAAATTGTTTTTTCAAACATCACCGAGCGTGCGCGCACCGTATGCATCTCTAAACGCGTCGTAGTCGCGAGCAGAGTACAACCGAAAAGCCAGAAAAACCGCGACGACCGGATCTCTGTGTCATGGACGAGCTATGTTTGGCGCCGCAGCTGTGCATCCGATGCCGGTCGTACGGGCACGTCGTAGTATCGAACACAGATCCCTGCACGTGTCCAGATGACGAGACGTGTTCGCACAGCAAAAGGATTCTCAAAAAAAAGTTCGTTTTGTTTGTTATTTTTTCGTTCCTTCTTTATTAAAAAATAATAATAATTATCGTTTTTAAACATATTTTAATTATATTGTTGTATTATAATTTAAACAGTCAGTTTCTCGTCACATTAACACATTTAATATATAGAGAAAAAAATGCCTTAAGCTTACTGGTAATAATATATATGTATATATACGTATAAAATAATTGAAAACCAATTTATAATGAAAAATTAACAACGTTGCATTATTCCATCACGTCGTTCGAGCGTACATTTTGTATATTTGTGTGTTTGACACGGCCACTGATTCACAGGACGATTTTGGTTCCGACCGTTCACGACCACATAAAGTCAAAAGAGAGCGACGTACATGAAGAATCGGACGACGACGATCCAGTCAGCTCTTCGTCGAATTGTAGTACAAGTAGTTGTAGTACATCCTCCTCATCCTCTTCCTCAAGCGGAACTACTTCAGAGTCCGAGAAATCGTGACCCGACGTCGTCTTTTAGACATCATTTTTTTTTTTTTTTTTAACAATAAGACTAAGGTAATGTTAATAATTAAATAGGTAATAATTAAACGATAAATGTGAATGTTACATATAATTAAATCATAAAATATGAAACGAAACACACACACATGCATGCGTTGATACGACGTCAAATAGTTTTCCGATTGGGTATTTACATTTTTCTTTTCTTTTTAGCTTTGTTATTTTCATTACTTCCACTACTGCTGCTATTACTATCAATGTCGCTACTACTACTAGTACTAGTACTACTACTACTACTACTACTACTACTACTACTACTACTACTACTGTCACTGTCACCACTGCTGCTGCTCTTGCTGCTGTTAGACTGGCTGTCGTCGGCACTGCTGCTAGAAGACGAACTACCGCTGCTATCGCTGTCTGAATCAGACGAATTTTTCTTCTTTTTTTGTTTCTTTTTCAAACTCTCCGTTTTCGGCCTAAGTAAAAACATTCAGGTTAAATTAATTTCATTTCCATCTCAAAATTACGAACACAATTTCTTTCTTTAAAAAAAAAAAGGATTATAAAATAAACTTAATTAATAGGTATTTATATTAATATAAATTATTTTGTTTTTGATTTTAATAATCAAATTACGACTAAAATTATAACCTACAAGGCATTAATGTTATTGATTATTATTTATTAATTATTATAATACGAAAGTAATTAAGTCTATTGTATTAAATAATATTGTATGTTGTATATAGGTTCATTATAATATGTTTTAAGTACTTGGGTAAGATTTGACTGGCGGGCCTATTTTTGTTCAAATTTCTTTTAAGCAAAGTCGTACGAGTCGGACGGTCCGCAAATTTCCTTTTTCCCTTGCACTCGTAAGTCCAATGTCCTAACTCCAAGCATTTTTGACAACGAACGCCCTGGGGAGGCACGTAGGTCCTATAAGGAAATTAAACCAAAATATAATAAGATTGAAACATAAGTAGGACACTAATACTTTCAGTAAATCTAAGTATATAATATAATAACTAAATTAAAAAAAAAAAAAAGATAATTCGACGATATATGTTTATTACGGTTTCTTTTTGCTGATGTGAATTGGTGGCATTTTTTTGTGGATTTGTTAATTAATTAATTAATTTTTAAGTTAACTTCTTGAACTTGATGTACCTGAAAATAAATAATACAGATACAAATTTAATCACGAGATAATAACTAACGTCATCATGAGAAATTATTTCATTTTGATGATTAATAAACCCTATTAATACTTTATATTTATACTTTAGTGTATGATTAATTAATTATATTTTTTTAGTTTCAAATGTTTTTCAAATAGATACACTATTTCCCACATTACTAAAACATTTTCGTCAATTATATATTAATGATAATAAACACAATTGTATTAGAACCATATTAAAATCATGGAACATGAATATTTATTAATAAGCAGTAACCAGTCATTATTTTAATCTTTTCCCTGCTTAATTTATTTTAAAATCATTAAAAAAATAATAAATTTTGGTTCGTGATAACTGCTTCTGCAATGTTATTGATCCCCCTCCCTACATACACACACACATAGTTAGGCAAACACTAGGTACTCTAACAGCATAATAATCAATCAAATGCTGAAACAGAATCATCCAATAGCAGAATCAATACAATTAGTTTCATCATCATTTTATACAAGAAATATTAGTAAAACATGTTCCTATAATATTCCATAACATACCTAGGATTTTTTTTGGATTTCATATTTTTTATTTTTTACAATATGTAGTATGTTTATTACATATTTAATTCAGATAATAACTTATTTATTAATCATTATCCAGTGATGTATTTACAAATGTATAATTAAAATCTGATTAGATTTTAATAGTACAATAACAAAAACAGAAATAGCACCTTTAAATAAGATTTTTAGATATAATATAGATGACAGATATATATTATACATAAGTATAATTTAGGACACATTTTTATAACACCCCTAAGCTTTGAGTTGAACTTATATACTACCAACAAATTTTATTTTAATTAGAATTTTATTATTTATTTTTTTATAATAATTAAGTGGCATATCATATTTACTTTTATAAAACTAAATGTACAGTATCTACAGGTTTTTAACCATAGTTAATTTATCACTATTTCAACATATAAGAAAATATTTAAAAAAATATATGTTTTGTTTTTAATTAAAATACAATGAACCATGAATCGAATCTATCTGATTCAAAGAGAACAAATCATGTTTTAATGGAGTTAACAGACTTGAATAACTAAGAAAAATATACAGCAATTTTCTTATCTTTAATTATCAAATAATTGTTTTTGAAAATATCATTTTAACTGGAAACACACACATAATTATAAGTCAGATGTATAAATGATACTGAAACGATACTACTAATTATAAATTAGTATTTACTTAAAAGTTTCATTCAAATATTACAGACATATTTTATATTTATTTAATTATTATGGATCATTTTATCAAGTATTAGTTTAAATAACAATTTATGGTAAAATTCTTTCTGACATTTGTTTATTATTAAAATAAGAATATAATATATTTAAAAAAAAACAATATTTATTTGAATAATTAAAGAGGAAATAATCTTGTACAAAGTCCAAAAATTATTATTTTTACATAACAAAGCTAGATGACAAATAATAAATTGGAAGAGGTTCAAATGTTTTTAAGTTTATATGATATAAATAAAATAACATTTTTATATAATATAAAGCATTTGAAGAAAATACTTTATTTTACTAATATTTTTTAATAAATACAATCTATATATTTTTCTTTTTTATAAGTAAATAAGCAGATATAAATTTAATTTGCTTATATGAATACAATGTCAAAATTTATCAATTACAGTAGAAGCTGCTTATTAAGAACACAGATAATTAATACAATCGCGTTATTGAAACAAAATGTCTAGGGACGGATCAGACGTGTATTAAAACATTATAAATCAATTAGATTATTGAAACAACACATCAGTTATTTCAAACAAAAAGGGTTATGTTCATCAAAAAATTCCAGTTATTTGGCAATCACCAATGTATTATAATTTCAATGTACTTTATCATTACCATTAAAATCAGTCAAACTTTTGGAAAAAGTGTACAAAGATTAGATTGATGTGGATTCACACCTGAATCTTGCAGGGGTTCCAACAGAAGAGATCTGTAATGCAGTTATGAATCTTTAAACAATTTAACTGGCTGTCACTGACAATGAAAAAGAAAAAGCGAGACATACCCATGAAGTAAAAAAACTGTAGAAACTCCTAGTATCCTCAAGAGAACCGTCCGAATTAAGAAATGTATTTAATAAGAACAATTTTAGAACTGTTGATAATTTATAGACAAAATATTTTTTATCTTGTATTTAATACTAATTCAATGAATAATTATTTTATCATTGACTAAATCAGTGGTATTTGGGAAAATTTTACTTTTCCTAGCTGAATTAACCTGTAGTTGTACAGTAAAAAATCTTTTATAACAATAATAAGAAACTACTATCAAGCTAGTAAGTGGAATTTTCAATTTATTGTTTTAACTTTTAATGAAATAAATAATTTATGATATTAATTTTTCATAGATTCTTAATTAGTTGAAATATAATATATTTAAAGTATATTTATTGTACATTATAATACAATATAAATGTTTGGTTCATTTAAAAATAACTAATGTTTACCAATATTTTTTGATTCAATAATTTAATTGGGTAGTATGAGGGATATATTCTTATATGTAAACATTAAACTCAAATATAATTAAGTTATAAATATAATTAATTGCTTTAAGCATTTTAAAAATATGTATAAATAAGAAATTAGTTTTAAAAAATGAATGCAAGAATAATAACATTTTTATAATATCAACACTTCTAATAAATATTTTTTAAAACTATTGTTTAAAATTAAATTAAAATTTAACATTAATACAATGATTTTAATCATTTTCTCTGTCGAGATCTGTGGTATTGAAACCGTTTAATACTAATTCAACAGCAGTTTCCAAATCACCACCAAGTTGAAGGGCTTCAAGATTTAAAGCATCATTAACTAAACCCATATCTCTCATCATTTGTAATTGAGTAGGTACATCAAATTCTCCTTGTTGCTCTGATTGCTGTCTCTGTACAACACTGACAGGCTCCAACACATTTTCTGTATTTGCAGTAGATGTACTTGCGCCACTAGTACTAGGCTGAGGTTGTTGAGTTGTAACACTTGCTATAGCTGATGCTAACTGTGCAGCAGTGATGGTTCCAAAAGATAAGTTCCTAGATACAGGTCGACTACTGGCCTCAGATGCAGGAGATGAATCATCTATATCTTCAATGTCTTCATCACTGCCATTATTAATTACAGATCTGGCCATATCTGCAGTAGAGTGATTCTAACATATGTAAAACAATGCAAAACATTTCTACATTAATAAAAATAAAAGCAGGCACCAATTAGTTTTAATAAAAATTACCTGCGAAACTTCTTCCTGAACAGCTGAAGCAATTTTCATAACAGCTAATGCAAAAGCAGGATGATTATCTGTGATACGTTTGACTGATTCAAAATCATTGAGTTTTACTAGTAGTTCAGGATGTTGTAGCAATGTAAGAGCAACAGGATCTTCATTCAGACCAGGAGTAGTTATAATAATCTTATTTATTACTTCTGGCTTATTAAGTTTTAACAGTGCAGCTCTATAAGATGAGTTCACTAAGAATGAACGAAAAGTTGCAACTAGTTTCTTAATATCAGATTCGGAAGATGGTGTAGGACTAACTGTCTTTTCCGGTGTAATATCTTTATACACGTGCACCGTAGCTCCATCAAATAGATCATACATAAATAGAGGACTATTGTCTTCCATAACACATCCGCAATAAACAATAATCATTCGTTTGAGGGAAAGAGATTCATCCTTTTGACACAATTTATTCTTTAAATTTATAACAGGTTCTCCTGTGTCAATACGTATTTTAGTATTATAAAGAAGATCAGTTCCCAAACGCACTTTAACGTTAATTTCTGCCATTGTGTTTCCAGCTTAGTTATAGTATATGACCATGTACAACCAACGCCGTTGTACTTAAATAACTTAGTCTAATATTATATACCTATAATATACAATTTATGAATGTGTATACACATATGCTTATAAGTGTAATACACAGAAAAATATTGCTTACCTTGTTATTGACTAGGAATTCGGGAGCCAGTCGAAAACAATAGAAAAGAAACAAATGAAAAATTTAATGTGACACTCTCAAAACGAATTTGGAAGAAAATCCAATGTTTAGAGACCGTGGACCATGAATCAACAAAACAAATGATTGTATTATCACAACCCCACATTAACGACGAGCGTCACCACAGTTGGCTGCGTGCGCGCGCACCTCTCCGTATCATTTCATGTTATCACAAATTATTTATTATAAAGATAAGCCCATAGAAAAGATATGTATAACCATTATATAATAAACTTATTATTATGTGCTGGGTTGCACAAACGATCAATAAAAATACTTCAATAAGCTATGATAACGGTTCAATAAACAGTCGGATAAATAACTTTATTGGTTCCACAAATTTCGTTGCATTGCACAAATACTTTCATATGATATGCAATAGTTCGTTCATTAACCGTGGTTAAGTATTACTGATAAAAAAAAGTGATAAAAATGTATGTTATCAATTTTCAAATTAAATCATTATTGGTTTTTTTTTATAAATACATATTATTTCCACGTATTTTTATTTACATAATATTGAATACATGTTAATTTTATCGATTTAAATTAAAACAAAATAAAAAAGCAAAATAATGTAATAAAAATTATAATTTACAATGTTGATAAAAATATTATCAGTCTGTATCGAACCAATAAAGTTATAGAACTCTTTTGAATATTTATCATGATTTAAGATAATTTAATATAATAGATACTTAGATCATATACAAGGGATGGAGTCATACAAATAATTTGTGAACCCAACATAACAGTTGGACCACAGTGATATGCGCATGCGTGTGGCATCTTATCATTAATTTTTGGCGCAAATATTAATTAATTGATTATTGAACAAGATAACGATTAACTATAAAGTATAAGTGTTTGTTAAGTTTCAAATTGCGTTATTATAATAATATAATTAATTATATTGTATTTGCTACGTCAAAATGATGATCAATAACAATGTGTGGTAAATTTAGAATTAGTATTGCCTAAATTCAATTTTAAGCCGAAAAACAGATTGACATTTGATAAGCATGCGCAGGCGCAGATGTCACCGGTCCTATAGTTATGTTGACTTCAACTCATTCTATAGGTATGCTATGCGATGATTTTATCCATTGCAGTGGCGTAGCTAGGATTTTCTGAAGGAGGCTGTTAATTATAATTATTAAATATTATATATAATACGTACAAACTTAAACTTTTATTTTAATTAATTAATATGTATACATAATGTCTGTAATAGAGATGTAAAGTATATTCGAATTCGGATAGCTTTACCATAAATCATTCGAATATTTGACTATTCGAATATCAGTATTCGATGCTACAATACCTATTATTAAACGTTTTGTGTTGCACGAAAACGTAAACGAATAATTTTCGTCACGTATTGTCGCAATCGCGATAATGTTAATGTGTATATGTGTAATTAGTATTGTGCATTATTTTATATTTCATATTGTATTATCGATTTACCTATGTTCCTATAATAATGTAATATATGATACGACTCAAGGGGGATGTCATATCTACCAAACACCCCCTTGTATACGCCACTGATCCATTGTATATGATCTAAGAATAGATATTATCTTAAATCATGATATTTATCGAACCGAAATCGAGTTTACAACATAATAAACCGATAACACAATATTTATTGGATTAATAAAACTTATTGGTCCTTTGTGCAACCTATCAAATTTTATCGATTCGATAACTTAGTTATTGGTCCGATAACTAGTAATTGATCGTCTGTGCAACCGGGTACGTGTGTATAACCACAGAATTATTATCATAGGTTGATATTTGGTTTCATCTGTGGGGGGCTTAACATTTTTGTCTTATTCATTAGCAGAAAAAAATATTTTTAGTCGCTTCCGACACTTCCACCTAGTAACTGTAGGGGCTACTCCTACTTGATTCTAGGTGAGGCACCAAATATATATATTGGTAATAGGAACATAAAAAAAATAAAATATTGAATAGCTACTAAATTATTTTTATTTTAATTGTATACATCATTTTTTTTGTGCAAATATATTAACAATTGTTTCAATATTTATAGATTTAAAAATTTCTATTTCAATATATAATATTGAGGTGTTGTTGAACCTTTCCTGCAGCATAGAAGTTCGAAGCCAAGTTTTTATTCTACGAATGGCCGAAAAACTTTCACGAGTGGAGGAACTTATAGGAATTGTTAAAGCAACTTGAAATAATTTATCTAAATTAGGGTTTTGTTAAAACCTTTTTCACATTATTTAAAGCCATATCATTTTCATCATTAGAGCTTTTTTGCGTAGTTATATCAATGTCTAAACCAATATTTAAATCTTCGTTTTCATATTCTAGTGTTGTTGTTGACGAGGAATTAGTAACTAATTTTTGTTTTTTAATATTAAAGACCATTAGCCATTATTGAATTAATTATAATTTATAATTTAAAATTAATTGATTAATTCAGATAAATACACAATTCACACAAATAATATAAAATTATATTTTTATTTGTCTAGCACACACTTAAAAATAAAATTTTAAAAAACCACGGGTAGGTATTAAAAACAAAAAAATAAAAATAAAGGCGATCACTGTATACGCTCCAAAAAACGTAATCGACACTAATGCTGTGGCGACCTGCAGCTTGCGTATTTATAACTCTACAGGTATCGCACACAAGTTCTAAAATATTAGCGATTATCAATATATACCTACAAAATATGATTTTCCCAACAATGATAAGCCGTGAATTTTCCAGACCATTCTTGTATTTCAACAAAATAAAATAAAAATTATAAATATCAAATATTTAAACACTAAATTTTTTATTTTGACGTTTACATTCTGGGGGGCTTAAGCCTTATTATTATTATTATTATTACTTATTATTTAATTATTGATATATTATTCGTGATTAATTATCTGTGTTCATTATAAATAAATGTAATAACTAATAACAAAAACAAAAACATTACAATACTTTTTTATGACTGACGAAAAAAAAAACTTAAAGGTAAATTTTATGTATAGAAATGATCAAATGTTTCATGAACGTGAATACTCTCACTAGGTATTTAGATTTTCAAGTCCAGATACTATTATATTAGTTTCATGTACAGTAGGTTTTGAAATTTGGTCTTATGACTACGTTTTTTTTTGGTGAATAAAGTCGAATCTGTGGATCAATTTTTTTTTTCATGTTGATATCTTCTACAGGCTCAAGGTATATTGTTTTTCCTTGATTCATTAATTTAATAACTTCAGCTAATTTTTTTTCTATTTTTTTTCTGATTTGATCACAATATTCATTTTAGTACTCAGACCCAAAATAATTTCTGTCTGATTTTTAATATTCAGATTTTGGTCGGCTTTATGATGACTAGAAATAGCATTCATTTCAAGCAAGGTATTTTCTTCTTCAATATTTATGTCATTTTTTTTCGTCGTCATTATTGTCGTCTAAGCATTTAAAAAACTCTCGAGCACAAGCATGAATATACTTACAAATATTTATTCTTATGACATTATCAATGCAAGAATATTGGTAAGTGAGTATACAGATATTACACTTTTTACATTTTACGAAAATCCAAAGTTCTTAGTACCTTAAAAGTTATGTTACAAACTGTACATTCAAAATTCAAAAGCCTACCACCATGTATATTTCTTAAGTGTGCATATAAATTTTTTTTTTTTTTTTTTTTGGGGGTAAATTTTGTATCACAAATCGAACATTTATTGTTGCCGTGGTTGTTTATGAAGTACAAAAAATAAAGTAAAATCACTGGTCAACTGTAACAATAAAGTTTTAACACAGAAAAAGCTGAATCAGTAACAGTAAGGAAAATTAATTAAATTGGTCAGCAATATTGAACTGAGATTAATAACTTATTTTTTAAAGATTTATTACTATTAATATTTATTTTCGTGCTTGAAGGTTAAGAAAAGTATACTAAAAAATAACATATAAAATATTATGTATCAGTTTTTGATAGGAAGTTTGTTCTTCAAACAATTTTTAAATATTTTCGATATTGGTTTTTATTACGCTTTTGAATACTAGTTGAAAATTCAAATATTGTTAAATAGTACAGACTTCCTATCAAAAGCTGAAACATAATATTTTAGTATACTTTTTTTTAAAATTATTTTAAAACTTTGCTCAAAATTCATCAGCAAGCGAAGTACATTTCGATGTATATGATTTAAATCTTATTTAGAAAATAAAATAATATTCATATATAATTCAAATTCGCGCGCTCTTAATTACTCTACTTAGTCATAGTAATAAGTGATAACATGGTGGATATGGAGAGCTGCGCGCGCACGCAGCCAACGGTGTATTGCTGCCATAGAAATGTATATATTAAAGGTCTCTATTTCACGTGTGGTTAAATTCACGGATACACGTGAAATTAAAATTCACGTACGCAATCACGTGAAATAAATTCACGTGCATTTATGAATTTAAATACACGTGAATCCGTGAAATTAACTTCACGTGAGTCCGTGAATTTTGTTATTAAATCACGCGTTTATTATTACATTTAAAATTTTATTTTCAATACATTAAATATCTTCCAATGACTTCCTACTTTTTACATGACAATTGGCAGTGATCGGTTAACAATTATTTATTATGAACAAAACATCCACGGAAAACTAGTATTTTAGAATACAGTTTTTTGACAAATGTTTATTATTTGAAACTTAATAACATTTTACATACATACAAAAATAATTGAACAATTATGTATAGCATTAAAATTTATAACAATAAGAACATGTTTTACATTTTATTTATTTATTAATTTTGGACAATAAGCTCAATTTTTTCACGTGCATAATTTACTCGTATAATATAATATATATGTTATAGTTTAATAAATCCTAACAGATAAACAGATATCCATGTGTATGTATTTGTGTTATAAATTATAATCAGAATATTATACCTATAAATACTACATGTTATGTGAAATTAAATAACAATAATTTGTAAAAAATAAACATAATAATTTTCATTCTAATAGTTTTCTATTTTGATAAAGAAAAATCAACATATTAACATTTTCCGACAGCAAACAGCTTCTTTTTGACGTAACTATATTACCTTTTTTACGGAAATTATCAACATATCTTTTTAAATATATTATTAAAATTTAATGAATTAAGTAACAGTACATGATGTCACAATGTGGAAACCAAATAAGAAACGACCGATAGGGAGGCCAAGGCAGTGATGGACAGACCGAGTTAAAGAAGACCTCAAGCTCCTGGGGATTAGAGAGGGAGAACAACTGGCAAAGAACAGAGAATTGTGGAGAGGTGTAGTAGAAGCGGCGATGGACCTTCAAGGCCCGGAATAAGCCAAAAAAAAAAAAATGAATTCAGTAAATATTGTTTCAAGCACACGTGAAATAAATATCTGTGGTTTACTAATTAATTACACGTGAATTAAATACACGGATTTTTAAATTTAAGTACACGTGAACAAAAAACACGTGATCACGTAAATCTTAATTCACGTTCAAATTCGAGAGCTCTAGTATATATCTATAGTTACTGCGGTGCGACGCTCATCATAGAGCAACCATATTATCTATAGCTGTCTATAGTCGTGATTGCTACTACCGAACCAAAGAGTATACGAAAATCTGTGGTCACCTGATACCGTTTTGGCGGCATTTGATAAAGATGTTTCACGTCTCAATTCTTTGAGCACGCTACACCATCACGATTAATCAAATTTGTAGTCCTGTCATACTTGTTATGTATGCTGTCATCGAGTTGCTACGACTTGTGAATTTGCTGTCATCGATCGCTTTCTACTGAGTTACTAAAAGCCGTCTTTAAATTGTAAAAATGTCAACTAAACCGATCAACCATTTGAACCTTGGTAAGAAGTTTTTAATTTCTGAAAACTGCCTAACGCTTGTTGCAATAATTATTATTATTCATACAATATAACTCACTCGAACAGTCTCAGAATATGTACTGTGAAACAGTGTGTTCCTTTATTTTATTTTGAATTGCTACTATGGTTTAGTAGCAATTAGCACTGCCTTTAGAAAAAAAAAAAATATGGTTTAATTAATGTAATTTAACATTATCAGTATTTGACCATTGGATATTTTCAAGTAATTTACAAGAAAAATGAATACCTCTTTATATAATCTAAACATCTTTTACCTATATACCAAAGTTGTTTTATTTTGTTACTTTTTACATTTAATTTCCTATTTTATAACCAACTAATGGGTTTTTATCATATACATGCACATAAGCGCAATGAGGAAGGGGGTGGAGGAGCTAAGCTCCCTAAAAACTATGCAGAACTTAATATTATATTGATAAATAAAAAAAAAATATATGATTACTACTGAAAAAATGAAATTTTTTTTTTTTTTAAGTTTTACCTGTCTTTCAATAAGCACATTTTTTATAGAGGGTGAAGGGTGGAAAAAAAGTTTCTGAGAGGCAGTAATTGAAAAATATATGGGAGGAGTGAAGTCCCTCAAATTTTTAATTCTAATTACGCCTATGGAAATGTAGCATTTTGATCTCTTATTTCTTATCTAATAATTTATCTGTGAATTATAAAAAAGTGGTTGAACCAGTTGCGTTAGCTTATTGCTAAATTATTTATAATTCCCATACCATGTACTTTATATTGTGTTTATTATTGATTTTAATTAAATAAAATTGTAACTTTAGAAAAAATATTTATTTTAAGTGTATATTATACTATTTTTCAGATCCAGAACAACAAAAAACATTCGTTCGTTTCTATAAATCACTACCAGATGTAAGAATAAACTACTTTTAATTAAAATATTTATTGATTATAATACTTATTTAATTAATAGTTTATAAAGTAACAATGTGTTTATTATTTTGATAATAAGTAATGTATATTTATATTTTTAAATTAATCTTAAAACTAAATACAATAACTTAACATATATAAATAATTATATTACAAAAGTATATTAATAGAAATAACTATTAACAAATGGGTACCAGTGGAGCGTGTGATCTACTGCTTTCATGTGCTCTACCTGTGATCTACCCATTACTGTCCAGTTCTTTATCGGTTAAAAATAGAGGCGTACCTATCTATATGCTTTAGTCACATTTAGATCTGTATAGTTGGAAGGTATGGGGGAAAAGTGAACCAGATTTGTTCATTGATTTTTTAGATGATATGCGTGCTATATTCATAAATAGCAACTAAAACAAAACTTTTATTTTAAATATTTATTTAACGAAACTTATATTATGTGGATGTGATTTTGAAATTGTGATTTTTGAAATACATATGAGCCCACATTCTCGTGGTGTATTTTGGGTAATGCTAAGTGGCTCAAAAATCTCATTCACCAAAAACAGGCTGGTATATCGCACTATACACCAGAAACGAGTGGGTAGATCGCACGCTACACTGGCACCAACAAATGAAATAAATTATATAAATATATATTTACAAATCAAACCCTATCACATAGAATAATAGAATAAATAACTTTCTTGGGTGTATATTCTTAGTTTCCACTTAGGTTTTGGTAACAATTTATTTTTAAAATCCTACTTTATCATTAATATTAGATGCCAATTGCTGAGCTCTATCTTTGACGTTTTCAATAGATAATTTTAATTTATCTCCTATTTTTTTCCAAACAGTAGATTGTGTAGTAGGCTGTTCTAAGAAATGTTCATGAATTGATGCCTGACTTTCAATGGGATTCAGTTGTTTAATTGATTTGGATTCTTTAGTAAGCGAGCTATTATAAACTATTTCGGATTCTGGCTCTATGTATTGTGTTTTCTCATCAATGGTACTTGAAAAGTAAGACTTTTCATGATGGGTTTGTACTGGCATACTTTTTAAATTATGATTTGTTAAATAAGATGTTTCAAAATTATCTTTGTTTATATTCACTTTACTTTTTGGTCCAGTAATTTCATGTTCTAATTGATTTAATTTATCAAAAACACTATTATATTTGGAATTCTCTGGTGATTGATCTTTATTTGTGATAAATTTTCCCATTTGTGGAGGAAATTCTGATTTATGTAAATCTACATTTTCATTATATTGTTTTTGATAGGTTGGTCTATGCCCTTCAAAATCACTTGTCAAGTCAATAGATTCTTGACCATGAGAAACATAACTTTTTATTGATTTTTCGTTCCTTTTTTGGTAATTAGTATAAATGTTTTCTTGTTTATTATTAACTGTGGTTTGTAAGTGATCGGAGTTTCTTAAATCAATATCTTTTTCTAGTGTTCTATGTTTTTCAAATACTGCAGCTTCCTGACTAGTAGAGTTACCATTGTTTATTGTTTTTTTAACAAAGTTCTCTTTTGTATACCCTGTTGGTTGTTTATGTTGTTCAGGTATTCCAAAGTCTAGTAAATGTGTTGTTTCTTTAAACTGTGATGTTAAAGATTCTAAAGGTTTAATTTGTTGCCCAGTTGTAGATGGAAAAAATATTGGATGACCTACACCATACTGTTTATTTAATTGCTTATTTTCATAATTATTTATTGATTGTTGTCCAATTGAGGATGGTTTTGAAAACCCGTGTAAGTCTACTGATTGTTGACCAACTTCTTCTTGTGTTTGTGTTGAAAATGATTCTATTTTTTCAAATTGTTGTCCTGTTAAGGATGGTTTTGAATATTTATGTAAATCTATTGATTGTTGTCCAATTGAGGATGGTTTTGAATACTCATGTAAGTCTACTGATTGTTGACCAACTTCTCCTTGTGTCTGTGTTGAGAATGTCTCTATTTTTTCAAATTGTTGTCTGTTAGGTGCCTTTGGTGTTACAAAATGATTTATGTTCACTGATTGTTGTCCTATTGGGGATGGTTTTGAATATTCATGTAAATCTACTGATTGTTGACCAACTTCTTGTGTTTGTGTTGAGAATGTATCTATTTTTTCAAATTGTTGTCTGTTAGGTGTCTTTGATGTTGCAAATTGATTTATGTTTACTGATTGTTGTCCTGTTGGGGATGGTTTTGAATATTCATGTAAATCTACTGATTGTTGTCCAATTGAAGATGGTTTTGAATATTCATTTAAATCTACTGATTGTTGTCCAATTGAA